AAATTTCTAATTCAAAAAATGTTTTAAAATCATATTTTAAGGGCAATAACTCCTTTAAGAAGACAACTGACAATTTCATCTATGCTGACCTATTTGTAGATCTTGTCCTGCTGGTCATTATTGCTATTTTAAGTAGCTATCTACCTATTATAGTTTTCATGTTAATAGGCAAAAATGCAAAAAAAACTTGTCAAAAATCTTCTTTAAAGGGTAATTACTCTAATAAAAAGTCGACTGACGATTAAGTACGTGTTGTCTCATTTGCAAAACTTGCTGATCATTTTTGCTTTTAAAGTTTCTATGTATCTGTTATAGTTTTCATGCTTATAGATAGGCAAAAATGGTCAACTCCGTCATTTTAGGGCAATCACCTCTCCTATAAGAAGTCGTCTGACAGTTTGATGCAAAATGGGCAGTGGGTAGACCTCAAAATTTTTAACGGTTCTGCCCCTGTCAGATTTTCTGAATCTATAGCAGTTTTCAATATAATAGACAAAACGTGCCACGTACCCCTATGTAATATTTTAAGCCATGTTTGCCATGCCAGTCATGTTGTTTGGTAGGGAAACATTGAACACATTTTTAAACTATATACTAGTACTCCTATGATGATTGTGGCCAAGTTTGGTTAATTACAAAGGTACGATTTTTTGTAAAAAGCTAACGGACGACGGATGCCAAGTGATGAAAATAGCTCACCTGGCTAAAAGGTATTTTGAAGATATCCGATTAGGTTCTGTCATATTTCAGTATTCATTGCTTGATTTTTATCTTATATAGTTTTATTTGGGTTTTAACTGTCTTCCACTTTAAAGCAAAACTGCAAAAAATTGATGAAATAGATTCTTTTGAGATCTTTAAACAAATATTTAGCAATTGATAAAGGCCTTATCCAAACTCAATTTTGTTAGAAGAAAAGATTTCTATAAAACGATACTACTGTGTGTAAATATATCTTTTTTCTAAGACTTCGCTCAATTTTTTTAGTAACCAAACAAATGTGTTATTTTACTGTTTTTGCAATTTTAGGGCCAAAATGATGGCTCTCTTTGAAATCAAGTCTAATCAGTTATTAGAATAGTGAAAGGAAACCGGGGGAATGTGTCAAAGAGACAACAACCCGACCTAAGATCAGAAAACAGTCTTAGGCAACAATTGGGTCCTCAATGTAGCGAGAAAGTCCCGCAACAGGAGGTGTACTTCAGTTTGCCCCTAAACAATAATGTATACTAGGTCAGCGAAATGGACGCCACACTAGATGATTTAAACACAACGCAGAACACTAGATGATTTAAGAAACTCGTGAAAGTGTTGTTTTATTACATTATAACGCTTAAGGATGTTCGCTACTCTGTTTTAAAATAACAAGCTTTTTAAAAGACTGTTATAAATTGATAGTATATAAATAATAGAACTAAAAAAGCAGAAAAAAAGAAGGGTCCGTGTACTTGTTTTCGAGGTATAAGCCATTGAAAATTTTGCCGGAAATGATTCTCTCTAGAGTATTCATACACATAACATTGCCACCTTTTTTCTTTCAAAAACTATGAAAAAATAACAAGGACTTTATAAGATCTTCAAATATAGCTTTTTAAACTATGATATGTAATAAAATTATCAAAAGAAAAGTAGGAGTTATCTGGCAAAATTTGCAATGGTAGTAGATGGAAAAAACCAGAGGATTCCGAATATCTGACAAAAAGTAAAAAACAAGAGGAGCGAACATCCTTAAACCACACATAAGTTAAAATCAATCTTAAGCCAAAACAGCAGAAAGGATGAAGTCAAAAATTTAATTATTTAGTTGTTAAACTATAATCTCCTCCCAAAATGACAATGTTCATATTATGATTGCTTAATCGTCATTTACATGGTAAAGTTCACAGCAATAACATATCATTTTAAAATATAATTATGTGGACAGAATTTAGAGAAATTGCAATTGCATTTTGTCGCCACTTTTTATGTACATCTAAAAGTCTATTGCTCAATTCCTGAATATTAAATTGATTGTTTCTAGAAGCATCATGCAAGATATTTTTTTTTTCGATTGTGAAATGCAGTCAGCCTAATTGTGTATACTTTAATAGAAAAACAAAGGGGGTATGTATCCATGACACAAAATCAGTACATGCACAGCACAAAACAAACAAAAAGCAAAGGAACAGCGCTTTTATCGCAGTTCTTCATCTCAAAGTCACATTTAGCAAAACAACTCTCATATCACTGAACCAGTTTGAGCGGAATATTTTGCAAATATGATTCGGGTAGACTTGGAAAGATGTAACACCACAAAACCGGGCCCGGTCAAAAAGAACATACTGGAAAGAAGTACATATTTAAAACAAAATAATTCCTACGCATAGTTGTAAATATAAAACTAGTATGTAGAACATGTTTTAGTAGTCTAGAAAGGTGAAGGACTGGTGATCCTTGTAGAACAAATTTTGACTGATAATTTTAAATAATACAAACATGTATGAATTAATCTAAAAGGAGGGCATATATTGACCGTTCCTCAGATAAGAAGTACCTGATTTGGGTATATTCAAAGCTCCGGTAACAAGTACGATCTGATGTGTAAATAATGGTCGACTAAATTTCCTAATTACGGGTGTGCTCATCTAACCTGTCTATTTAAGGTCAAAGCTCTGATAATGTGTTATCCTTTGTACAGAAAACTTAAATAACAAATATGATATAAAATTTCAAACTAGTCACTGAACCAAAACGCGTTACATAATATAATGAATATGTTATTTTTTAAGATAAATTATTTAAATGATCTTGAAGATGGCCTTATGACTTATGACTTATAATGTCGTGTATATGACTTGAAACTTGTAAATTTTTATCTTAATTGACTGTCGCAAGTTTGTTATCATTCAATATGTCGAGATAACTAATTACAAGATAAACGATAAATTCATTTTAAACGGAATGCTTAAAATAGAGTAAAGGAAAGAAGAAATACAAACACAACCCTTACCATATTTTCCATTCAATAAAAAATCAGACTGACAGATTTGAAGATTTTCTAGGATAGGCAAAACAATTCCACCAAAGTAAAGTTAAGTGTATCATTTCCAAGTTCCACATGTTTAACAAACAATTCAAATTGACAAAAATTCTTCTTAATATTTTATAATAATAAAAATATATGATATTTTATTCAATAAAATATCAAGCATATGAGTTAATACAATACTCAATATATACGAAACATATGCATAAAGACAATATTAACACATACTTTGTAAAATATAATGGAATTTTATGAGTGTAGTATCCTTAAGTGCATGGAAAAAATTTGCTGATATTTTATCAGGGATAACCCATGAAAGCTCTATAGCTTGTTTCCAATGGGGTCCCTCATGTAAACGGCTTATAGTTTCGACATACAAAAAATGATATCACACAAATTAATATGACATAAAAACTTCATATAAAAATAATTTAAATAAAAAATAAGTTTAATAATATAAAAAGAAGTCTGATGAAGCCGCACTATTATATTTTAACAATATTAACGGTATGTTGGGTCACTGAGACACCAACACAACAACACGGTGACCACCCATAAAAACACCATCAAAACACAAGTTGTACAGAGAATGAAGTTTTGAAAGGGTTAGGACATAAAGGATCGTAAGAATGTGACGAACACGCAGATTAAATACAAAGTAGATTAATTTTCAGAAAATATACAATTTATCATTTGTACAGAAAAAATATCTTTTAACGTACAATTAATCATGTCGTAGATTATATAATTTTTAATTAAATAACTAATCATTGTCAACAATTCTAATGCTAAGGATTTCTATAAAATGTACAATGATAAGTTGTATATTTTCTGAAAATCGACTTTTTGTTTATATGTTCAGGCAAAATAAACGATTCATTTTAGAGATATAACCCGTAAAGGTAAGCACGATAGATTATCAACTAACTAATCTTTTAATTATTCATTTTCAATACAGTTACTAATTTAAAATTAATATAGTGGATGGGGTGTTTAGACCGTACACATAAAAAGGCAGAAATTGTTTTATGGTGGGTTTTTTTTCGGCTAGCCATCGCATTTGTAAGATTGTTATTCCAGAGATTCGTTTTGAAATAGGAATCATACGTTTAAATTGCTGCAATTCCAAATAAGTAAGTGCAAGTGCTTTAAAACTGCTAGACTACAAGTATACCATCCGCACAAATAAGTGCTTTTATGCTTGAAAATGTATATCATTCATTTTATATTGTAAATATTCAATTTCTAAATTATCTAATTGACCTAAAGCTAAGGCGGCTATTTACTACCCTGAGACGGTTTGGGTATAATGTGCATGCCACTTGGTTTTGCTTTCCTAGACATCGGACTTTTTGTCTCCACTAAACCGCAAAAAGAATTCTTCGAAAATAGTTGTTTTGCACAGCCGCATATGTTTTTACATTATGCCGCTTAATCAGTTGAGCTGCTAATTGTGTGTCAGTCTACCAAAAATGTATAACTATCAACTCAGTAGCCAGCATGTTGGTACCGGAGTGACTAATATGATTTATTTCAATGGCGGCCATATCAGTCTATGAAAACCCTTTCAATGATTAAAACTAAGGTAAAAATTCTCATAGAGGCAAAGTTGCATTTGTTTTCTCTGGTCTTGTTTAGTTTTGAAATCATGAAAAACTGCAAGCGTTTAATGCTTTAGGCTTCCGATAAATTTTGGTCTTGCATTTCTCCGGACGAAACATGGTTGAGGTGCACTGAAGTTGATACGTTTACTAACATGTGTCGTAATTTTTTAGTTCGGCCAAAACATAAAAGTATGTTTGTTTTCTAAACTTCAATAATTGTAAAGAAAATTTAGATCTTTTGATTAACCGCTGGTTGTGCGTAAAAAGGACTTCTTTTTCTTGACCCTTACACAAGTAAACAAAATTTAAAGGGTAGTTTTTTCCTGAAATCGATATGTGAGTGGTTAAAAATTTTCCGGTTAATACGTCAAACTCGTTGTTGGTGGCGACAAAAATGGCCGACATGTAATCGACTTATACATGCGGAAATAAAGCAGTACCAAAACCTTTGAAATCTTCCTCAAGGACCATTGATGTTTAAATTTTGCAACAAAAAGAAGTTTTTAGTGGTAAGTGATTTTTTTTAATTTTTCTTTTCAAAATGAAGTAAAGTCAAGCACCCCCAGTTTTTGGTGGGTTTCGTGTTGCTTAGTCTTTAGTTTTCTATGTTGTGTCATCTGTACTATTATTTGTCTGATTGTCTTTTTATTTTTGGCCATGGCGTTGTCAGTTTGTTTTCGATCTATGAGTCTTTCGTCCCTCTTTTTCAAGCAACTACAGGTTATCTAAGGCTAAAATAACACTATAAATTTGGTGTTCCCAGAAGTGTTTTTCTAATTAACATTCATTAGGAACGGTCATTCAAAGATCTTAGACCGACAATTATTGTCCCCCGCGTGACGCGTTGCGGGGGATATGAAAATACCGGGCGTCCGTCCGTCTGTCCCGTCCGTCCGTGTGTCCGTCCGTCCGGTCTTGTTAGCGCTCTCACAGGTACAATTCTTGTCAAATTTTTATAAAACTTATGCTATAGGTTAATATCAACAATATCTCGGACAAGTTATATAATGGTGGCCGATCGACTTATTTTAAAAGAGTTATTCCCCTTGGAAATATTAAATTTATGGAAAATGGCCTCGTTAGCGCTCTCAAGGGGGACAATTCTTGCCAGATTTTTAACAAACTTATACTATAGGTTAATATTAACAATATCTCGGACAAGTTCTATAATGGTGGCCGGTCGACTTTTTGTAAAAGAGTTATGCCCCTTGGAAATATTTAATTGATGGAAAATGGCCTCGTTAGCGCTGTCACGGGTACAAATCTTGCCAGATTTTTCTAAATCTTATACTATAATAGGTTAATATCAGCAATATCTCGGACTCGTTCAATAATGATGGCCGATCGACTTTTTTAAAAGAGCTATGCCCCTTGGAAATATCAAATTTATAGAAAATTGCCTCGTTAGCGCTACAAAAAAAGTGTTTTATTTAGTTATTGCCCTTGTACCTTGGATAGATAAAATATGTGCAACGCGGGGGACATTGGAACTCTGTTCTTTTATGTATTTTGTTTTTCTCTTGTATATGTTAGGATTTTGTGTCTGGAAACGATCTACATATCACTTCTTTAAGATGGAATTTTTTACTGCAAAAAATGTTCTACTTAAGTTATGTACATTACTAGAATAAGATTGTTAACATTTGATAAATTTATGAACAATAGTTAGGAGGAGATACCTAAAAGTTCGACTGTTGTGGAATATCTATGTAAAGAATTACCACAGATATGTTTCAAAAGAGAGGCAAAAGATACCAAAGGGATATTCAAACTCATAAGTCGAAAATAAACTCACAACACCATGGCTTAAAAAGAAAAAGACAAACAGACAAACAATAGTGTCCAAAACACAACTAAAGACTGAGCAACATGAACCTCACCAAAAACTGTCATAACCACATTACCGATTGAGAATAATCACCAGATTTCTACTTAACATAAGCAACATGATGGGTTCCTCTAATGGATCAGGATCTTCTTATCTTTACAGAGCATCAAAGATCACCCCTAAATTTGTTTAGTGTGGTTCGTGTTGCACAGTCGATAGTTTTCTATGCAGTTACCTCAAATTACTTAAAACCGTTTCTAAATTCTTCCATAGATACGAATATTTGGTTTGAAAGTTTGGATGTACTTGTAGAAGACTTGTTACAAACGGGATAGCACATTCTCATTTTTACGGTGATATTGCTTATCTAAGACGTAAATTTAGACACGATCAATCCTTTAAATAGGCTTATTCTAAAAGGTTATCAATTCAACACTGTAATCAGACCTTTGATCGGTATAAATGTTGATTTTGTTATCAGTAAATTAAAATGAAATTAAATATTAATGTTTATACACTTACATGTATGTACATTTATGGTTCTACCATTTTTTTAAACCTACATTTTGGCATTGTACAAGATCATGTTTTTTTCTCTCGACTGTTAATGACGTCTTTCACTAAATCCATTGGATGTTGGATGTGTACTGATTGATATTTTAGTCTTAGACACATGATTTTTTATTAATTGTTATTGGCTTTCAGTAACTGCGAGTACTCGCAGGTCTGTACTTTGTGTCTTTTGAGTTTTGTTAGGGTTTTTTATATGCTCTGTATCAATCTGATGAGTTAAGCCCTTTTCGACTGATTTTTATAGTGTATTATTATGTTGTTCTGTTACACACCTCTGCCACAGATTAGGGACGGGAGGGGGTTGTTAGGGGAAGGGGTGGGTTGGCGCCAGGAAACATATTTAACCCCCCACCACCACCCCACCCCACCCCCCCCCCCCCCACCCCCCCCCCCCCCCCACATTCTGTATGTGCCTGTTCCAAGTCAGGAGCCTGTAATTCAGTGGTTGTAGTTATGGACAGTATGGCAAACAAGCAATTGTTTAAATATCCACATTGGATTTTTCAAATTCCTATTTGTACCAAATTAAATCTTGTTCTATAGCCTTTATATATGTTTATGAAACTAAAGCTTTTTCTAGAAACGTTATTGTAGGTTTGAAATTTAGTTTAATTTTTAGATTTCCGTTTCATTTTCAATATGGACAGTGCAACCGCAGCAAAAAGTACACCGTTTGTTTGTGTAATGATTTTTACAGGTCCGGCTTATTTTACGGAATATCATATTTAGAAAGTGTTAAATAATGAGTTTAAATACCCCTTCATTTTCCAGAAAATACGTGTTTGTTTGTGGAACAATCAGGTCATTCGATGTAGCGTGCATTTTTTATACTGACATATTAAATATTAAATAAATTTTCAACATAAATTACAACATCACATTTAAATCCACGTTTTTAGACATTTAGCGACTTTGCATTTTTTATTATTCGTAAACCAAACAATGAAAATGTAAGTCATTGGTTGAATATTGTATTGTGCACTTTTGAAATGGTATCAACTATCAGATTATGTAATTGCGAATTGTACAAACAATATAAAAGGACGACCATTCGATTAAGGGGAGTGGGTTAGGGTGGCTGGAAAATTTTGAAAATGAATATTGTAGTCCCCATATGCATTAAGATTGAAATATATAATCTGACCATAACCAACAATAATGCACTTTCAAGGTACTACAATCTGTCGATACCTATAATTTGGCATTGCACAATGTCATGTTTTTCTCTGACTGTTAATGACGTCTTTACAATAAATCCATTGGATGTTGGATGTGTACTGATTGATATTTAATCTTAGATACAAGATTTTTTTTTTATTTAGCTGTAAAGTACTCTCAGATCTGCACTTTGTGTTTTTTGTTGTTGTTTGGGATGTATAAATGCTCTGCCACGTCCGGTCTTCTCTTTTTTTTTTCCTTTTTAGATGTTTTTTTCTGCTTTGTATCGATCTGATAAGTTAAACCCTTTTCAACTGTTTTTTTTATATTTTGTTCTTATGGTGTGATGTAACACCACTGTCCCAGGTTAGGGAAGGGACTGAGCGCTAACAAACATGACTTTTGATTACTGTGAATACTTTTATTTTCATGGGCAAATTTCGTTGTTTTGGCAAAGTCCGCATAAATTCCTTGGAAAATTTGTAATTCGTTTAACATTTAAATTAGTGGTTCCCCTGTACCCACGAAATCCACGAAAATTGGTATCCAACGAATAATATTGAATCCACAGTAACTCCGCCACATTCTTTAAATATGTGCCTGTCCCATGTCAGGAGCCTGTAGTTCAGTGGTTGTCGTTGGTTCATGTCTGTCATATTTGTTTTTCGTAAATTGTTTTATTATGAATTAGGCCGTTAGTTTTCTCAATTGAACTGTTTCATATTTTAATGTCGAGGCCTTTTAAAACCGACTATACGGTATGGGTTTTTCTCATTGTTGAAGGCCGTACGGTTGCCTATAATTGCTAACATGTACTTCATTTGAACTAAGTGGATAGTTGTCTCATTGGCAATCATACCACATTTCCTTATTTTTATATGACAATAAATATTCTGGCCTAAATATATTCAAAATGTTCAATATATAATGGGAGGTTAATGTGAAGTATCTGTTAAATGTCTAGCTACCTAATAATATCATTTTGTTGAATGTGGCAAAAAAAATCACTATTTTTTTTTTATAATTTGTTTACAATGACATGATAATTAATCATATATGTGTTTTCATTTATTTTATAGAGAAATTTTCTACTTAAAATTGTGAGTTTCTCGGGATCAGAGAATTTCTGGAAAAATTCTGAAAGAAAATTTCAACTATTTATGAAATATTTTTTAGCTTTTATCAAATTTCACAGATTCTAATTGACATCAATTAATCAATGCATCAGTGGATATTCATAAAATATTTCATGAGACTTTTCACCCGATTTCTGAATTCCTTCCAGAGTCATATTTGACTTGTTTAAAGACAATTCAAATATCGACTTTGAATGTCTAGGCATAATGCAAGATTATAAAATAAAAAATCTTCGCAAAATAAATTTATTAAAAGTCTTGGCTAATTTATTACAAATATATCCATGGTATTAACGTTTAACTTTTTAGGAATGAAAATATTTCGGTCATTGAAATCTGAGACATCAAAACAAACACGTGCACATCGCACCAACTGAGATGATTATCTTTATTCAAGCAAACAAATCACTAACAAGGAACGCAAGGAAATTTATCAATACAAAAGTATATTTTGTTGTGGAAGTTCAGCATGCTGAAGATCATGAAAAAAAAAATGTTCGTCATTATTTGAAAAAAATGTAATGTTTTGAATTCGACAAATTTTAATGATTCAAAGGAAATGTCTTCTTGTTCTTGTCTTTCTACATTTTTGTCCGTAGGTCAAAAATAGATTTTAACTTATGACCAAAACACGTCTCATAGTAGTATGATAAAAATATTTTAGCTTTTAATCGTCTCGTTTTAAGTCATATCCTGTATTTACCTTTTCTAAATATAACAAAATAGGTGCCTAGTATCATCATAATACCTTTTTTTTTAATTTGACAAATTTTGATGATTCAAAGGAAATGTCTTCTTGTACTTGTTATTCTAC